GGAGTCGTCTGTGTTCAAAAGGACTGGCAGTCAAACGGAAAACAAAGCATCCCTTTTGTGATCACTGGGAAAGCACCAGATACCCCTAAGGCCGTGAATGTGGCTTAGGCTAGCGGACCAAAGAGTAGCTTGCTTTCTCATATTCTGAGAACTTAAACCTAGGGACCCACCTGCTCAGGCATGTCTGTTGGGGGAGGGGGTGAGCGTGGGGCGGGGGAATGGACGCTGGCTGGTGCACCCACCTCTCAGCAGCTGTGAGTGTTGGCTGCTAAGGGATCACAGCTGTTTCCTCCGCCAAAGAATTCCCTCGGGAGGCTATATCTCCCCACCAGGGGCAGTGGACAGCCCGTGACCCACTGGCATGTGGGTACCAGAGGCCAGCCCCTCACCTCTGGGTAAGACATGTCTATGTGAGGTTCATGCTCCAGAGCTCCCATGGATCAGGCCAAAGCAGTCTCTAGCGGAGACCCCATCCTCCCTGCTCTGCCCTCTGCTCTGTCTGGCTCCCTCCTTCCCTTTCCCCTGAGGGCTTCCCCTCAACAAGCCACACACCCTTGATCGCCCCCTCAGGCTCTACTTCTGGGGAAGGTAACCTAAGACATGTGGAGATATAGCCAGACCTCCTAAGGATCCTGGACTTAAGCTCACTGCAAAATTTTTCGTTCACCTGTCTCCTTTAAATCCACTGAACAAACAGCTGAGACACGCTTCCTACACTCAGGGACATGAGAAACCCGATGGGAACAGCCCAGCCCGCGCAGAGAATACTAACGGGGGAAAGGCAGACATTACACAGGTAAACGCATCCATTTGGATACACTGTGGCCAGGCGGGTCTTCCTCTTTGTAATGGGATTGTTTGCCTCTGAGGCCGAATTTCCAGGATGACGGAGGAGGGGGAGTAAACTGGGAAGCCGCATAACCACCAGCCACCAGAACCTCTCTTCTGCTTTGGGAGCTGCGGGGGATGAAGTTGGGATTAGGGGTCAAAATGGTATCAGTATCACCATCTCCACTGAGCTGAGTCTTGCCAGAGAACCCACACAGGGAGGTCGTTAAAGGGGAGAGGACACTGCAGGAGGCCCCTTGAGGTTTTTCTATATGTTTTACATTTTTTAAAAAAAACTTGCTCTTTTCAAGGCCCAGAATCAGCAAAGCAATACTGAAGATAAAGAATGAAGCTGGAGGACCCTCCCAGACTTCAGACAATACTATAGAGCTAGTGATCAAAACAGCATAATACTGGCACAAAAACAGACACATACAGATCAATGGATCAGAACAGAGGGCCCAGAAATAAACCCACACACTTAGGGTCAATTAATCTTTGACAAAAAGAGGCAACAATACACAATGGAGAAAAGAGAGCCTCTTCAGTAAGTGGTGCTGGGAAGACTGGACAGCCACATGTAAATCAGTGAAGTCAGAACACTCCCTCACACCGTACACAAAAATAAACTCATATTGGCTTAAAGACTTAAACAT